CTGTCAGAGGGTGTGTGGGTACAAGACGTCAAGTGGTGGTAGTCAGATACCAGTACGTGTTGCAGTCAGTGGAACAGGTAAGATCACTGTCAGGGGGTGTGTGGGTACAAGACGTCAGGTGGTGGTAGTCAGATACCAGTACGAGTTGTGGTCAATGGAACAGGTAAGATCACTGTCAGAGGGTGTGTGGGTACAAGACATCAGGGGGTGGCAATCAGATACCATTATGTGTTTTTGAAATGTCACATGAAAAAATCTCACCAAATTCAAAAAAATTGTTCGGTTATCCAGTTGAACCAAAAATAATGAAATAATGGCAAATGTGATACTGTAAAATGACTAATTTTCACTGGGTTTAAATTTCGCTGATTTACCATTTCAGGCATATTCAGTGGGTTTTAAATTTACGGTTTTATCATTTAAATAACGTGTTCTATGCTAAATTATACATATTCACTGGGTTTATAATTTTCATGTGTGATTCATGGTACTTATTATTTTTTTTTTGCAGCCCAAAATAGTACGCTTGACCCAAATACACATGAAATCATTCCGATTCCAAATGCATACCATTCTTTCTATCATGTTTATGATTTCTTCTCATTCCGTGATGAATTTGATGAAGCTGAATTTATTGCTCATAAGGTATGCTTTAATTATTTACAAACTTTAAGGAACAAAACAATTTGTTTGCGGTTGTTGAATGTTCGAACAATTTAGCAGTGCTCGGAATTCTCTTTCTTCTACGCTGATTTATTCGACAAAATGTAATTTATTTCACATTTGTATAGTAAGATATTTTTAACGAAATTTTTTTATTGTGTGATTTTAATTTATTTAATGATTGGTCATGAAATAAGCATAACTTGTTGCGCTACGAAAACTTGAAATGAAAGTAATTTATCTTATTATACATCTGTCACATTAACGCCATCAGTTACAGCATGCCATAATTTTGCGGTATTTTACAGGGTATTTTCATCCTACCATATAAGGAAATGCGAATTCCAAATATGTAATATTGTAATGAAAACGTCTTCTAATAATAAAAACAAACATGGCTGCCACAAGGCTTTGACCGGACGCCACACAAAGAAGTTTGCAGATTCTGTTCTAAACTTTTTAGATTTCTGCATTCCCATGATGCATTCTTGGAAGGAAAAGATGTATAATAATAAGGTTATCACGAGGATACATCAAAGAGAATACATCACTGTTGCATTGATCTCAGCTGCGTGTCGGTCGATACTTCTGCCGAACGGTCTTCATGCATACTTTAATGTATCCTCGTAATAACCTCATCATATTCAACACATTGTACAAGAATATTTAAATCTCAAGATATGTGTTTTTTTGCAGGCCCCCATGGGTTATGTCTGTCCAGGACGTAAGAGTGATGTGGAGATTCCTGAATTTCCACCCCAATTTGCTGTTCATATTGAGACAGCAAAAAAACAACTTAAGAAAACCCACTACAGTTGGGTAAGATGTTTTATATTTCCCTATTTTCTATATAAACTGATCTGTATTCAATGATTGTGTTAACCCAATATTCTGCTTCCCAGACCCCCAATATTAGAGAGAGACTCCCACGCAAGTATAAAAAGGTGTCCCCTTTGTACACAGAATGTATTGTTCATCAGAACTTTCTACATGAAAATTCAAAAACAAATCCTGCCTTAGACACAAATTGTTGTGACAGTGATGTAGGCTTTGTCAAGAATTATCACGGGGTTGGGGGAGGGGAGGGATTTTGACATTATGATTTAAAATTAATGGATGGTGGTCTTTGGGTCGCACGTGTGCGACATTTGTGTTGATAAACTTAGATTTTTTCCACAATCCACTGCATTTTTAATGAAGTCACAAGTACGGGTTTTGACCAAGGCGCCACTTGCACTAATTACTCCTTCGATACTTTCTAATCAACTAAAAAATTAATTAACTCGTGGTAATGTCTCAGTTTGTACTTGTTGATCAGTCAAAGTCACCATCTTTTTTGTACGAGACCTGTATCTTGCACATGTGTCACACAACAACTACCACCCTTTATCAGTTATAAAAACTCCAACAAATACATTTTGACAGCAAAACCAATTTTTATGAAAATAAACAACGTTTATAAGATTAGAGTGAGATCTTCATTGCATATCACTGTACATAGTTATGAAATTTGCATACACTTATTCTAGGTAAAGAATATGTTACATGAGAATCAATGCAAGATTGTGCCTGATTGGCTACTGAAACCTTAATACCTAACAGTCTGACCAATCACAGCATATTACATTCCCACAGATCCAATAATACTGATTCACTGCAATGCTACTTACTAGATTGTACCTGATTGGCTACTCAATCTAACAGTCTGACCAATCACAGCATATTACATTCCCACAGATCCAATAATACTGATTCACTGCAATGCTACTTACAAGATTGTACCTGATTGGCTACTCAATCTAACAGTCTGACCAATCACAGCATATTACATTCCCACAGATCCAATAATACTGATTCACTGCAATGCTACTTACAAGATTGTGTCTAATTGGCTACTCAATCTAACAGTCTGACCAATCACAGCATATTACATTCCCACAGATCCAATAATACTGATTCACTGCAATGC